TGTATATCGGAGGAGGCTTTATTATTTCGATTTGTAAATCGGTGTTAGTAGAAGTGTTAGTTAGAGTGAAAACACTGTACATATTATTAGTAAGTATTTCTTGCAACCACGTTTCTATCTGTGAGCGTATACTTGTGTTTATCATGTCCACGTCTTTGCCTTGATTACTTACGTCAATCTTCCTTTTCCTGTTTAAACTTATCTCCGTGTTAACTGGATTGACTTGCTGTAGCTGGTTTGTAGCTTTTAAAATTTTATGTGAAGTGCAAGTTTTTGCTGATTTTTATATTTTCAGCTATGGGCAGCATTTTTGGTTGGATTTCCATACTGTTAAGTACATGCATGAGCGCCCACTACGTTACACTAGTCACTAAGTACATAATACATTAATATTGAGCTGATCTGATGATAAAGAAATACATCCTGCCTCTTCAGCGTCTGAATAAAGACTTTTTGAACTGTAACATTAGCAAATTAATAAATTTTGTTTTTTATAATTGTTAGAAGTTATTTGTTTGTAACGAATATTTATAACGATGATTGCCTATACAACATATTCAAACTACAGAAAGATAATAAGGAATTTAAATTAAAATTCAGATGTGCTATCATTTTATCGATGAATGTAAAAGTCAGCAATAATGTCTTATTTTGCTATTCAGTTTTACTATATTATCACGACAGAATAGTATAGCATAGCAACTCTTTTAGTTTGAGAGATTTTAAATCTATCCTGGAATACTTACTGATTATATGCACGTGTTATCTTTTTGTTTGAGAGTATAGTCCAAAATTCTGTGCCCCGAATTATTCATCATCTTCATCAGTTACATAGTTCATATAAACAACTTAGGTATACAAAGTATGTTCAAAAGTCATACAAAATATGTCGGAGACATCGCATATAAAACACAATAACAAGAGGCGATTATTTAATTTATAAATAACGGACAGAGCATCAACCATGTTCTTTGTTTAATTGAGTTATTGCTTATATACGAGAATGGTGTCTTATGTCTTTAGCGATTTTTAATCATGAAAGTTTTCAAGAAGCAAAGAGCATGCATATGAGTAGCAAAAGTGGCTTGAAAATTATAAATAATCCAGACAGTTTTTGGAAATAAGTTTTTCAAGTGATATAGCATATTATATAGTAAACGTGCAACGTAATGAAATCCGTCATGATTAAAAATCACAGAACATACGAGATCTCGTTCTCGTATGTAAGCGACAGCTCAACTAAACAAAGAGAATGATTAATGTCATTTGGTGTTGGCATTGTTTATGCGTTATACAATCTTTTCCCCAAGTCCAAGATTCTAAATTATGATCTATCGTATTTTATGTGTGATGTCTTTTTTATACGTCTTATATTTCTTATAAGTGATATATTTATATTTCAGTGATTTAATTACAAAAATTACTGAATTTTTTAAATTTGAATATAAATAATAAAAATTTTGTATTTCTGATAAGGGATTGTTGATACAATTATATAGAATCTAATGCAGCGATTATAGTTATTTACTGTCAAATAAATTATTAGTAAAGTTTGTAACAGATTAATTATTAAATTGTATGGTTAATGTTCTTAATTCAATCGCAATTCACGATCTGATTTAATAGCTACTATTATCATTTTTGGTATTTATTTAAAATATATCATGCAGAGTCATATTTATTCTTAATATTTTCGAAAATAGTTCAATACATGATTCCTTCCCAAGATTTTAAATCATGATCTATTGCGTTTTATACATACGTATTTCTAATCTTTTTGAATATACCTTATAATTTCATGCGTTTAGTCTTGTTTATATTACTTATTAATATTTTATTAACTATTAATTACTATTATAATGGCTTTATTATTCCAAATGATGGGAAATGGAGAACATTTAGAAGGTAAATGTTATGGCTTTGACAGGTGATCGATGAAGATCTGTTTAAAAAACGTATTGCAGAATTGACTTTGGTCTGAAATTTTAGTCTGACTTGATCTTGGTCAGATTTTCTTTCATTACGTCATACAGCCAAGTT